AAAAAAAGCCAACAGAAAAACCAAAATGAAAGAAAAAAGGGAGAGATGCTGCTTGGGTTAAGGAGGAGTTAGGAAGTAACCAAATGTCTTGGGGTCCACACACAGCTTTACACCCTTTTCAACATAAACCAACTGACTTCCACCAAATTTCCCATAGCAACTCCTTAAATATGTAAAAACTAACGCAAATTCGCGGAATCAACCAATACACGCTCCCTATATAAATTCCAAAACAGAAAAAAAAAACTTGAAGGAAGACAGATTTCTTTTCCCCGGAACTCTGAGTCAACCGAAGGTTAATTCCGTCATTTACACAAGGATAAAAAAATTGTAAAAAAAAATACTACTTTTTTTATATTAGAATATTAGTAGTAGGACAAATAGAAAAACGTCCAAAGTTCATTTTGTTCGAGGGAAGCTACACCAGATCTGAATGGAATATCAAATCAAAAAGTTTCCCCCGAAAAAAGAAAAAAAAAAATCTCCAAAAAAAAAGTAAAAAGCAGAACCGAAGGGTAATTTGGTCATTCTAACGAAGGGGAAGGAAAAAGAAAAGGAAGCGGAGAAGAGGAAAAACGTGATATCTTTCTCCATCCCTTTCTTGGAACTTATCCTCCTCACGTGAAACGCTGTAACTTCTCCGACTGTGAATTACCTGACCCGATAAATCCTTCCCGGGGCGACCCGGAAAATTAAAAATAGAGAAAAAATAAAAATACAGCAAAAGAGACTCAATAAAAAATTTGAAAGAATAAAGAGGATAGAAAAAAGGTGACAGCTGACACCGCGTCCGTCCGTCCATGGCGCGGCGGCGTATCGGACAGACGTTACAAAACACGAGTTTGACTCACTGAGTCTATATTTCAATTTCCCAAGTCTCCACTGAAGAAAATTAGGTTGCTGACAAGGGATAAAATGGTCATTACGGCTACACTAGAAAAACGTATCGGGAAGGAAAAAAGGATTGTTTCCTCAATGAACATAAAGTGACCTCTAAAACTCACTACGCGAAATATGAAGAAAAAACAGGAATTTCCACACCCAGCCACCTCCGTCATCTCAAGGGTAGTTCTGTCAAAGAGACGGAACTAAAACAGATCCGATGACTGGGAAGCTGATGTCAGCACCGGTGAGCTGAAAAAAGGATGACAGACGGAGGTGTAAATGGTCAAATAGAGAGCTGTGTCAGAAAATGGAGAAGGTTCAACTACATAATCGGAAACTTAATCTTCGGACGCAATTGGCAAAAGCAGAGATGCCAGCTATAAAAGGAGAGAGATCGGCGACGATTAGGAGAATGTTAGGCCGCCGATTTTTTGAGTGGTGGAAGATGAGACGAGTGAGAAAAGGGAATACAAACCTTGGATCTGAAGGCGGATGATAGATCGGAAGACGGTGGACGGCTAGACTCATCATAGCCGTCGTCACTAGGTGAACCAGCGCCGCCGCTCCAGGAAAGCGGCGTTATAGGGCTACACCTGGTAGTGGAGGTATACGCTTTCTTAACTGACATAGATGACGGCTTCGACCTCGGCTGACGGTGACCCCAACCACTCAACGGCAGTCTCAGATGCAAACCACCCTTTGCCGCCGCTGTAGTCGTCGGCTGCGGCGGCGGAGGAGTAGTACTATTACGCAACTGAGATGTAGAAGAAGAAGATGGGTGATGTTTGAGTCGGAAAAGCAGCTCCACCACCACCGAATCATCGGATAACGCAGCGGATAACCAATCGTCCTTCTTCATCTGAATGAATGCTTCTACAAAATCTGCTGCACTGTGACTGAAAACCCACCCAAAAGAGATGTGAGAATATATGGAGGTTAAAGGAAGCTTAAAGGGGGTGGCGGAGAGAGAGAGAGAAATGGAGGAATTGATGGGGGCTATGGCTAATATATAATGGGAAGAGACTGAATGAATTCCTCTGTATTAAGATTTATATTTATATGTGCTATTTATGCGATCTCTTCTCTCTCTATCTCTATATGAAAAATGAATACTTCTGATTAAACGGAAATCTTGAAAAAAAATACTGTATATTGAGACTTTGTGATATATATATATATATATATATATATATATATATATATATATATATATATATATATATAT